TTTATTTATTATTATTTATTTTCATTTATTTTTATTTATTTTAATTTATTTTTATTCGTTTTTATTTATTTATTCAATATTATTATTTAGTTTTACGATACTACCTATTTCCCCTTGCTTAAAATATGAAAGTCCAAAAACCTTGAAATACGTCATATATTGAATAGCTACAATTCCTATTTTCAATTTTATATTTTAAAAAAAAGCGATATCCCCATACAAACTTTTTTGCATTTTCGGATTCAGAGTTGTTTCATATTTAGTGTTACATTAATTCATTTCCATCGACTCATTTTTACTTTTTTTGAGAAGTTAACACTTCTAATTAATAAAATTAAACCGAATTCCTTTTTTTTTTTTTCTAGAAAGAAAAAGTAGAAAAATGTTAGTCAATGAATCGGTTCAAACTAGTAGAAAAATGGAAAGGAAAGCTTTCGAAGAACGCGTAATAAGAGAAGGTATGGAATTATGGAAGAAACAAAAAGATTTTGAATTGAGAAAGAAAGTTCAGGAACAGCGAGAGGTACATACAATATCAGTAAAAAATAGTATATACGAGTCCAAAAAATAGCTTTTCCCGTACGAGCGTGACAATTTTCCGTGTGAGGCGAAGCCCAACACGGGACGTCGTGCAAGCACGGGAAAAGCATTTATGGACGTGTAATGAACGATACTTTTCAATAGGCAACTATTATGTTGAGTTTTTCAGACGACTACGAGAAGTTTCCCAGGCGAGACGTAGTCGTAGCCTAAATAATATTATATCCAATATTTCTTATAACTGAGAGTGTTGTGATCGATAAGAATAGCCTAATAACTAATGAACAATAATAGTTGTTATGTCAGTGTGCTTACGTCAAATCAATTTACTTTTAGATTATTTAGTTTTTCTTTTATTCAATTAAAAATGCTTACATTCAAATTTGTTGTACAAATGGATTATGGACTACCATTTTACAATAGCAAAAAAAATATTACCTACAGTATTAAAAATCTGATGTGTCCAACACATAACTTTCCTATCTAGTTACTATAGGCTTTTCCCGGTTATTTTGTACAATCTATACATTTTTCACATACATCTAACTCAAAAACATGTTCCTATAGATATCATTGAAAACGAAAATACTAAAAAATTAAAATTTAGCACTTTTCCTCCAATTATTCCATTACGGTCCATTTTAGAAAAATCATGTAAAAAGCAAAAATGATCGATAGGCAAACAACTTTTAGTTTAACAATTTTCTTAAAATCAGAATTTTGCATATTTTCTCACACACACGAATAAGAAATTTGCAGCTGACGCGTAGCCAATGCCAAGCAACGTTAGGCCAAAAAAGATAATGCGGCCGAGGTATTCACAACATTTTTTAGGCGACTATCTCATCAGGTAGATCCAACATTCTTGTTTCTGAAAAGAGTTTTCAATGCAAGAATAGTTTTTCTAATTTGTATTGCTCGAATAAGGATCTATTGTTAAGGAATAAAATTTGTACAGAATTACTAACCTCAGGTTCATAAAAAGCGACTGTAAAGTAAATGCGATCAAAAAAGTGATATTTTAAATCAGCCGTAAAGTAAATGCAGAAAAACAAGTTATAATTTAGGAATGATAATGAAATTAGTAAATAGTTATTTGTGTACAAAGGCCGTAAAGTTGGTCTTTTTTGCCGATTCAGAAAAACTATTGGTTAAGCCAAAAACGATCATACAGCCGAGGTGCACACAACATTTTTTTAGGTGACTGTCTCATCAGGTAGAGCCATTTTTTATTTTTTGTTTTTGAAAAGTGGCTTAAATGATAGAATTGTTCCTAATTTTTATTAATCGAATAAAAAATTTATTGTTAACTAATCACATGAATAAGTAAATGCGGCCAAAAAGTGACACATCTGTCTAGTCATAGTCATTGTTTGCTGCAGTGTTGTCAGGATAACTTGAAAGCTCTGGCAACTCTGCAGTTTCTTGTTTTATCCCATCTTTCCTCGAATTTCACAAGGGAATGTTCTTTAATTAGGTCACCTTTTGATGTGGCGTGACCTTTGATTCATCTTAAGGTGACGACGTTGTTGATGAATACTTTGGCCAAAACTTTGTGACATTCTAGTACTAACCCTGAATAAATTCGTGGTCTGTTCAGGGTGGGTAGTGCTTTTTCTGCTATCTGTATAGATGAGCATGTTCCTTTCAGTGGCACTTTAAAGAGGCCGTAAAGTAAATGCGACCGCAAAGTAAATACGGCCAAAAAAGTGAGACTAGGGATGTTAATAAATCCGTAAAATGTAATTTTATAAGACAGTCACCTAAAAACGTAATTTTTTTGTGACAGTCACCTAAATAATATTTTATCAGCAGTACCGATAAAAATTAAATTTTTCTGTTTTAGATGAGAGAAATGTTAGATAGTTACTGGCCATGGGGTAGAGGTACAGATGCAAGGCCGCGTGGACTTAGAAATTTAAGGCTTGACGAATTATTTCCAAATAAAGATTATATAAACGTACGTATTTATACAAATATTATCTGAATACTCTACAAATACAGGGTGTCCCGAAATTAGACGGTCAAATTTTAACAGCATAATCTATATCTTAAAATAAGAATAAAAGTTCATATAAACATAGGTCCGAAAACGTTTCGTTTTCGAGATACAGGGTGTTAAAAGTGAAGTCCTGATGACACTCTTTTGTAAATATTTTCTAAACGTTTAAAGATAACTATGTGAAATTTGGTACAAATGCTAACCTTTTTATGCTCTACTTAATGGACTGAACCCCAGTTTTTGATCTTCTTCATAGGTGGGTAAATTAGGGGGGGCTTAGGGTAAAGTTGCCCTAAGTTTTTTTTGTTGACAGTTTTTAACATTTTTGACTATAAAATTTGGAAAACCAATGTTTTTTTTATAATAAAGCTACATTTGTTGGATCTCGCTAGGACGCACCATTTTCAAGAAAAAATTATTTGAATATTTCATGATAAGTTGATGTTATCTTATTCGAAAATGTAAACAATAATTAGTAGGCCTGTGAAATCAGAAATTTTATTTTTTTTTTACTTTGAAAAACCGGTGACTAAAGTAATTTTAGAAAATATTTACAAAAATGTGCTATCATGACTTCACTTGTAACACCCTGTATCTCGAAAACGAAACGTTTTCGGACCTATGTTTATATGAACTTTTATTCTTATTTTAGGATATAGATTACGCTGTTAAAATATGACCGTCTAATTTCGGGACACCCTGTATCTATAGAGACCATTGATCTGAATATAATAAATGTAGGTATAGCTAATACTCAGATTACCCAGTGTTGCCAAAAGGTTCTCCGCTAATATATTGTTACGCAGGTTTTTGGTATCGCAATTTATTTGAACTCAACTTTTACAACAACTATTGAACTGATAACATTAACATATAACGTCTATCATAAAACTGAAAACTGACGTCAGGATCATCGGCTTATATAGCTTGATCTTTGAATACATATTTATTCAAAGAGCTTGATTGACCCTTCGCTAACCTTCTCGAAATGCCTAGAATGTTCTTGGCAAATAATGACGTTTACTCGTACTTTTACTTATGATAATCGCAGCCACATACTTTGATTTTTGTTGTGACTGTAGCCACTGTATATTGTAAAATTAGGGATTGTAGTACAATAACAGGCCAAATTACGAAAATACTTTTATTTTTCAAAACATGAAATATTCGTGCATGACATGAGTTAGATAGCTTGTCATCCCCTTTGACGTTACTATGGATAATCTATAATAATATAACACCTCTCTTCCTTAGAGAAAAACAAAACTGCTGCAAACACAAAGTAACAAAATATTGGGAACAAAAAAAAATCAAGATGAACTACAACATAGAACATTATTTAATTGTATAACATTTTTGTTGTCATTTATTGTAGTTTGAGTACAGTTGTCATTATTAGTAGGTAGTAATAAATCTAGCTTTGAACGTATTTGTTTTCCAAACAGCATTTGGGATGATGAACTTTGAGTATCAGCATGGGGCATAATTCTATATTGAAATAGTATCAATTGTAATTTATTTTCGATATCTGATTTATTACAGTTCATTTTAAGTATCGCTTTCTTAATGGTTTGAACATATCGTTCTGCTTGCCCATTAGTAGCTGGGTGGTAAGGAGCTGTAAATTTACTGATCACCCCGTTTGACTTCAAGAAATTTTTAAATTTGTGCGATTTGAAATTAGTACCATTATCGGTTACAAAATACCGTGGTATCCCAAATTGTGAGAAGATTTGTTTGCAGGCTTTAATCATTGTTTCAGCCGTCATATCATGTACTAGCCTGACTTCTGGCCATTTTGTATAGGAATCTACGAGGATTAGTAAATAAAATCCGCATATTGGTCCAGCATAGTCAGCATGAACACGTTCGAATGGTTGTGTAGATGGTTCCCAAATGTGTGTGTCTACTTTATGAGGATTATTTCGTCTTAAGTTGCATTCAATGCAATTACTTGATATATCTTCAATAGATTTATCTATATTGGGCCACCAGCAATAGCCTCGAGCTAATGCTTTCATTTTGGAAATACCAAAATGACTCAAGTGTAGTTCTTTTAAAACTGGGCTCTGCAATTCGCATAATGCACCCTTGTTGTAAACTCAGTTCATTTAAATCTACTTTAGGATTTAAATGCAGATCTACATCAGTACCAGTTTCTAAAGAATGTAAAATGTTAGAGAGAACAGGGTCTTTCTTTGTTTCTTTAGCTACCAATTCAACTGTAACTGGCAAACTTTCAATTATAGTTATTTCAAAAATATCTACTACATCGGGATTTGAAACTGAAGTTGTTTCTGGAATTGGTAATCTGGATAGAGAGTCTGCATTTAAATGTAATTTAGTGTTTCGGTATTTAATATGATAATTAAAACCTTGTAGGAACATTGCATAATGTTGCATTCTCATTGCAGAAAAAAACAGGTGAACTTTTTGTGGGTGAAAATATTTGTACCAATGGTCTATGGTCAGTATATAGCGTACATTTATTTAAATATAAATACTGATAAAACTTTTATTTGCAAAAATTATTGAATATGCCTCTTTATCAATCTGGGAGTATTTTCTTTGAGTGAGTGTAAGGGTTTGGGATGCATATTGAATTACTCTTTCTCTCCCATCAGGATAAATGTGAGATAGTACTGCTCCTACTCCATATGGACTGCTATCAGTAGCCACAACAAAAGGTAACTTAGTGTCATAATGTACCAAGAAATTTGGACTTTGAAAAAGCTCTTTAGATTGTAAAATAGCTATTTGTATTACTAGGGAGGAAAATGCCACTTTTCCTCCCGCAGGATGAACCCGACGCGAAGCGGAGGGCAGTACACATCCAAGGGAGGAAAAGGCACTTTACTCCCAAGTAATACATATGATTTTTCCGCCTCCCTCAAATAACAAGTCATTTTAAAATAATTTATTTATGAAACTAATAAACAAAATTTATTAAAGAACTAAAATTATGAAGTAGGTATATATAGGCATGTTATTTTCATTCTTGCATCCTACATATTTTTAATTTGTGGTAGAGTAATTATTTTTCTGAGTAAGTACGAATATGCTTTTCTTCTGCCCATTGCTTGAAATGTAAATACCGTTTTTCGTATTTTTCTTTAGATTTTTGGGGTAATAGAGATTGAACTGTTGCATTAACCTGTTCCAAAATATCCGGTGGTGTGTTATTTATATCTTTAAATTCGCTTGAATCACTCATTTTTTAAATAATATTTTATATTTTGTAGATATATTATAGCGTAACACACTTTAAAACTGATCTGTCAATCGACCATAGCATGCTATAATATTTCTGTCCTAAATTCGAAAATCGGATGAATCTATAAATTGAAGTCAAATTATTAATGTAAAAATCGTTAAATTAAAATAACAATTTACTGATTTTTACTATTTTGCAAAATACAGGGTGTTCTATAAATAAACGGTAAAATTCATACTTATATAATAGAATATAGTTTAGGTCGTCAATGCCGTATAAGCTATTTCATTTATGACATACCATGACGTCACTTTTACTTTTCCTCTTTTCCTCCCTAGGGAGTAAAAGTATGACTTTGCTCCCTGCAATTAGGTCAGGAAATGTATACTTTGGATAGAGGTAGGCGGAAAAAGCTTTTTTACATTCGTTTGTCCAACTAAACTGCTTATTTTTACAAAGTAATTGATTTAATAGAAATAGAATAGTACTTAGATTAGGAATGAATCTACCGTAATAGTTTATCATTCCTATGAAAGCCTTTAATTGCGTTTCATTTGTTGGTCGTGGCATCTTATTTATTGCATCCATTTTATCCGGACACTTGTGAATGCCATTTGTAATATGATCTTATTATTTTATTAAGTTTTATAGTGTTTTAAGCTCTACAATTTTGGGGAGTGGGCCAGGTTATTAAACAACTCATATGACTTTGAAAAAGAATATTGGACGCCACTATATTTAAAACTCTCTAGACTTGACAATCGATCAGTGATGAAAATATAGAAAATCACTAATCTTTATATCATAATTAAATAAGGTAGCGACAAATTGTAATTCACAGAGACTTAATTATTCAAATTTAAATGATTTATTGACTTATCTGTGGTATAACAGGTAAGGACTGACTGTAGAGGCCTTCTTGTTGAATTTACAAAGGTAGTGTTAAATCTCGTTAACTTCTTTCGGTGGTTGATGTATTCTACGTTCTTCCGAATTTCTTAACAAGCAGCTTGTACGTTTTTCCAAAATTCATGTAGATACAGCTACTATTGAACTTCTGAACCATCTATATAATTTCTATCGACTTCTACTGAAACCATCTATATAACTTCTATAGGATTTCTTTAGGATTTCTATAGGACCATCTATATACAGCAAGGCTACAAGGAAAAAGGTAAAAATATAAAGAAAGGAATTAGGGAGAATTTATATAGGAACAGATAAGATGCTTTTTACTATCAAATGCATAATTTAAGTTATTAAATGAATAGCTTCACAGAGACCAAATTTAATAGGAAAAGACAAAGTCTTATTTAACATATTTAAATATAGTAAAGCATATTATCTATTTCAAACAAAATAATATATGAAATTGTATAAAACATGCGACCATGTGTTTTTCAATGTGTTGAGGTTATGTTTCAAATTTGACATTTTAGTAAAGAAATTCTTGTACTAAATATATATTTTCAACAAAATATCGGTAGGAAACTTACCTTTTTTAAAAACAGACGGTCATTAAAAATATTTAAGATAACTAGTACATTGGATGATAAAACATAATTAAAATTCAATAATCAACTAGCTCGAGACAGGAGGTAAATCGAAATGACAACCCGAGTTTTGACACAAGGCGTAAACGACAAATGACGTTTGTGTAGAGATGGTGGTTTCAAAATAACGAAAACTGGTCTGGGTCTGGGTTTTAACCGTTACACATTTGTATCTATAATGTAACCGCAAT